TTTTTTTTTTTTTTGCTTTAACAATTGGTAGAATACATTTAAAAAAATAATTTTGGTTGCTTTTTATAGCTTCGATTGTATTGTAGATTAACTTTTTTTCGTCTTTCTTCTCTCTCCCTTCTTGCTGTATAAGAAATAAGGCAGTTATAGACGTTCAAGTAAAAAAAAAAAGTTATTAAACATCAATGTAGAATAAAATATGGAAAAAAAAGAAGAAAACGAGAAGAACAGACACGAAAAAAATAAAAAATCTTAAGTGTGATATTCGGACAAGGTAAGAAGACAATTTACAGGTGAACAAAGAAAAGAAACAATGTATCATTTTTTGGTTTACTATAGTTTATCTCTGTTTGACAATTGTTTTGCAGAAAACCTTTTTATATTTTGTTCTCAACTTCAACCTATAATCAGCTGCAGTTGGTAATGTTTAACTGGAAGTTGTTACGGTATTTCGGTAACTGAAAAACTGGTGGATGTTAAGGTGTTTCAAAAATGCCAGAAAACCCAAAAAAAATTTTTTAATATTGTTTTCAGGAATATTATATATCGGTTTCTAAAGGATTCTATTACTAAGTCAGCGGCCACAGCCGTTGCCAGTCATTTTGCGCTGTATTTATGGATGGTTCAGTTTTTGTCGGCACATGCAACAAAATCTTCAGGGATTCTAACAGAGTTGGATGACTTTGATACCTGACGATGCTCTTCTATACAGTGCCAGTTGGTTTCAGCTGATGTCTGTCTTGTCGGTTGATGACGACGACGACGACGACGACGATGGCAAAGATAATAGTGATAGTATATAGCGCATAAAATATTTTTCACTAGTCAACTATAAATTCTTAATGATATGTTATGTTTTTCTGTGTTTATTTTTTGCACTACTTTTTTTAGTTTAATTGCAACACCGCAATTTTAATTTTACATGCTGAAAAAAAACTGTCTGATCATTTATTTATTAATTGGTAACAAAAATTTCTGGCATTTTTGAAGATGAAGAATGGAAAAAAAAAGAAAAGAAGTTAACACGAAACATTCAATGACAACGGTTTAAAAAGCAAAAACAATATTCTCAACTTTGTCTTTTCTGTTTTTTTTCTTCTCTTTTTTTGCTATAGAAAACCTATAGGAGAAAAAAAGTGATATGAAAATAATGTGTTGTTTTTTGTGTGACGTCATCACTCTTTTTTTGATATATTTATTTATTTCTGATTTTACTAATTGAATTTTTTTTTTGCATATTCAAAACAGCGAAGTCATTCCAAACTGTTCTTTATTTGTTTATATGTTAGTTATTTTTTTTTGTCACTTGGAATATACTCTATTTTTTCTATTT